TTTAGACTAACTCATGCCCGGCTCGCTAGCATAGTTGGCTAAACCGGACTGCGCAGTGACCGGGTGATGAACTCCTTGTGGTCTGGTTTCACGCCTGGGGGTAGGCAGAAAAGCCACATTTTCTCCCAGATTTACAGTATTTATCATGGAATTAAGGCCGAAGGGTTGCGATATCCATAATACTGAGCCTAAGGGTTAACAACACATGGCTTCTGGATACTTCAACAAAACAACAAAAAAGACTAACTCATTTTTCTAGCACCTAAACTATCTTTCATTGAATAAAATATTTTTTAAAGATTCCCTCCCATTAAACCAAATATGATAAAACTCAACATAAAACGAAAGGTGACAAAACTCACCTAATATCAAGCATGAAACTCACTAAGTGGAACATACCTAAACTAATTTTCTAAATGTCTCTTTTTAATTTCTTTCAATAACTCTCCTTTTAATGGCCAGCCTCTTCAAAACTGCTGTTTTTGATTGTTTTTGTTTCAATTGAACAAATCTGATCTTACCTATTGTTTTCAGATTTCTAATCAAGTCTATTAACATTTTATTGTTTTCTATTACCATTTTTTGGGGGAGCCATCTGATATGTTTCAGTTCTGATTATATTCTATTCCTGCTTCTATTCCATTCACTTTCTTATTCTATTCACATTTTTTTGTTTAATAAATATTTCATTATATTCTATTCCATTATTTACTATTTATTCTGTTCTATTCAATGTATGCCTTTCGATTTACAAATATTCATTTATTCATAAAGGGAAAAATACGAGCTTAATATGACCCCAGCAATTATTCTCTCAGAAAACAAAGGGGAAATATTTTAGTGGAACTGTGTTTTGTAATTGCTGCCACTGCTCGACTGACACTGAAATTACGCATGTTAATTATTTCAGTTACTGGCCACATTGATTGGATGTATGACAGCTTAATTGTTGTAAGGCCAACATAACATTGAAACATTATAGAAACTGTTGTGGTACCTGCTGTTTCCAATACTTCTGTGTTTCTGATCTTTGCTAGCCACTTAATGCTAAGAATTCTTCTTAAGCATCACACGTGGAAACTATTTATCTGTTTCTCCTGATGCAAAAATGTGATAAAGTTTCTCCTCAAATATTGGCTGGCCAACTGGTTAGAACCTTGGGCTTTCATGCATAAGACCCCAGTGTGATTCAGTGAGTTGATGGACCTTTTTTGTTTTATCCTGGGCAAATATGCAGAAATATATATATTTCCTAACCTGAAATACCTGTGGCGACTGCACTAGCCATATTGCCCTAAATGACACCCCCCCCCCCCCTTTCCACTACCCAACCCCCCACCCTCTCACTCGTCCTATAATGCCCCTGAAAAAAAATTGTACTACAGGCAGTAAAGATATTTTGTCTGCATTCAAACAATATTTACCTTTACAGAAAGCATGAACTCTGACAGGGAGGTATTCTAACAATAAATAAATCATTAAAATGTATTGATTATCACAGGTACTGAAAATATGAATGTAACACTGGAAGACAAGGCAACAGACATTTAACTTAGTCAATTCTGTCTATCCGCCCATGTGTTACTCGGGCCCTAAGAGGAAGCAAAGAATAGCAACTATGCACTCTACCAGTTATTTTGTGAGTAGTAAATGACTGACTGATTGATTGGCACCTTTCCATCTTTCCAGACAATAGTGTTATATTGCGCTATGAGGAGGCATGGTACCCACAGCCTATTGTAATGGCAAGTGTGACTAGCAAGACCTTCTCCACAATTTATTATGTCGCACACCAAACCGGCGACTGCTGAGAATGGTGTAAGCTTTAACAATTAAAATCAACAACCCCCTGCTTTGTAAGCCGACAGAATTTATCACATATAGGCGACTGCTGAGAATGGCCAAAGCTTTAACAATTAAAATCAACATATTTTATTATTTATTGGTGACCTGTATCAAATTAATGCTTTTCTAAGGATATTTTCTGGAGGGAGGGGAAAGGGGATATTCCAACGGGATCCTGATTTTTTTTTTAAAAAGGGTACAGGGCAGCAGGGTAAACCAGAAATCAGTAATCCATTCTACAGATGTCTATATTGTGCTGATTTTTTTCTTTCAAATTCTGTGAATGTCTACATTTACCCTTTCCTCATATTTTTTCAGTATTTTACCATCTAATTCTGTTTTTAATGTCTCTTCATATCTAAAGGATATAAAAAAGTAAAAAGTAAAGATCCCTTTTCACGCCTTTCGGCGCATCGGGCATATGGGCAGAGCGTCCCATATTTTTACAGACCATCAGCACTCGGTGGGTAATGTGGTCAGCATTACGCCGGCTGTCTTTACTTTCCCAGGACAGCCCATCCTGGTACCCATTTTAGGCTGGGTCAACCTGCGACGTCCCATACCACGACACAAATCCACGCAGCCTGCAGTGGGTTTCGATCGCGGTATGCTGGCTTACGAGTCGGACTCACAACGCCTTAGCCACGGACGCCGCTATCTAAAGAATATAACCAGACTATAACAACCTTTTCTTGTGTATCATTTTGAGACATCTTACTGCTTCTTTGACATTAAGAATTATTTCATTTTTCCAATTTTTAATCTTGCTTGTACTCAACACTTTTTGATGATACACTTCTTCTTATCCTCTGGTCCTATTCTGCCTTGGTATTTACTGTGTAGATGCTGGTATTTAGGGCCACAGATATTGCATCTGTCCATTTTTGCATGGTCCACCTCTAGTTATGCTTGCATCATGTCTAACTGGCACACATATCAAATGATTCAATATTTTTTCACCATCTTTATCATGGTCAATATTTTGAAAGCATATGAGACTATAGATCAGATGAACATACTAAGGATTTTTTTTTTCCCTTCGATCAGCTTGCATATTCTTTTTCTCAGGAGTTGTGTGGATCTCTCTAAATGGCTTCCAGTTTTGTGGGTACCTAGCCAAGTGGTCAAGCCGTTTGCCTCACCTTCTAAAAGTCACTGGTTTGTTTAAGGGATGCCTCGTTAAGTTCATAAGTCTTTTTCAAGAGCCCTGGGGCTCATAGCTGCAGCAATGGAATGTGTACCTAATGCAATGCTCTTGGCAACTGGTTAGCAATTATGTAGAAAGAGACCAAGCCATATGGAATAACAGTCTATGCAAGGATGTCGATCCTCTAAACTATAACTTGACATTAAATTACTTCTATTCCATTTTGTGTCTCTTCAAAATACTTCTTTTCCATCACAAATCTAATTCTAACATCTTCTGTCACATTATTACAATTCTAGCCGAGATATCGATAAACATTTCCATGTTTATTTTGTTTTCTCATGAATAATTATGAAATATCAAGGGTCTCTGTAGCAAAGTGAAAAAGGCTGTTGCCTCACAGTAAAAGTTTTTAGGTTCAAGTTCAGGCTCTTTCATTAAATTCAGTGGAGCTGGTATTGTGAAGATACCTTGAAGAGGGGAGAGGTATTGTTGGAAGTATAGAGTTTGTTCTTTGTGCAGTGTTCTCCACAGGTGAGCAGCCATTCTGCTATATGGAATAAAATGTGTTGCAATGAAATCAATTCTGTTATTTTTTTTTTGCTTCTGCTGTCTCCACAATGGAGGTTAGCTGCAATGTATCCTCTGCTTTTGTTTCCTCAAAAATAAGACCGGATTTTATATGAATTTTAGCTTAAAAAACAGCATTTCGGCTTATTTTCGGGGGATAATACATTTATTCAAATACATCATGTCATCTTCTTATGGAACATTAGCATAACTTCTCACATCCCGAAGTCCAGCCTGAATTATGAATCATTTTCGTTCATTATCAATTGTGCATTAGTATCGTCAGTACTCTGACTGGCCATTGGACAATAACTCTCTCATTCTAGCTGATGACTTTAAATAGAACTTATTTCAAGGGTATTGTTTATATCAAAAGCATCCTGACAAATCATGGATCGGCTTATTTTTAGGGTAGGTCTTAATTTTGGAGAGACAGTACCTGAGAAAATTACGCAGTGAGGCCCCAATCTCTTTCAAGTTACGATTTTCATACCATTCTGAATGCACTGAGAGTAGTCTTCCATTTAAATGCTCTTTAATTATGCAAAATGGTTGGAAAATAACAATGTGTGTTATGGCAAACATAAGAGCCTCAAGCAAGAAGTGTGCATAATAACATAAAGAAATTGAAACAAACATTTTAACAAAATACAGTTATAATTTTCAACATAAAAAATAGTTTTTCCTGAAAGACCTATTTCAAAAAGTGTCACAGAATATAACTAAACTTTCTATTTAGAATTATAGTAAATTTATTATTATGCTCATCTGTCTTTTATAAGCTGAAAATGCAAGATGTGTCAAAAATACGATTACACATCCAATATGAATACACTGAAACAAATGAGTGACTTTCTAAAGCTTTGCTGATTATGCTGCGACACGAACTGCAATCAGTTTGGGGTGATTAAGTGACTCAGCAATTTTGTTTGGTGTGTGTTATAAGTTTCGAAAAGCCCAATTTCAATCGTCTTCTTCTTCTTCACGTACACCGGCTGTAACCTCCGGCAGAAAGTTCTGGTTGTTTGTCAACTTCAGGAATCTAGTCCTGTTCCAGAAACTGAGTGTTGCGTGCACATCTGTTTCACAGGTCTGACTCACTTGCATGCAGTCTGTAGGTTCCTTGCCTCTCAGGCAGATGTACTCAGACTTTCAAGGAAGCTCCTATAGTCCACACTTACGACATGCTTCTTGAACAGGCAGTGGGTCTATTCTCATTTCCCCACAATGGGAAACCTCAGTCACCTCATTTCGTAATCATCATATTGGTGTGTGATTAAACACCTGCAGTAAAACATGTAGCCGTATTTCTAACTCAGCTTGTATAAAAAAATCAATTTTACAAGCAGATGCCATCATTATTCAGCTTTCATCAGCTACTATTGTTTATGGTCAGCCCTGCAAGCAGATGCCGCCTATGAACACACATAAACAGTCTCTAATTTTTAGGATGACAGCACACGAGGACCGGACAGGAAGCATGGTGGACGACACTGTCGCTGACACTGCCCATGAAAGTTCGCCTCAGGGAATTCTGCCCTCGAGTGCCCATGACGATCATAATGCCCTTGACTTTCTCCTGGGGAACAATTGTGAGAAATAAACTATCAGAAATTTGTCAAACAAGATTATGTAATACCGGCACTGCTTGATTTCATAAATAAACAGCCAGCGGTTTGTCAATCAGATTATGTAATATTAGTTCTAAGGGAATAAACAGCCAGCGGTTTGTCAATCAGATTATGTAATATTAGTTCTAAGGGAATAAACAGCCAGCGGTTTGTCAATCAGATTATGTAATATTAGTTCTAAGGGAATTTACAGAATAAAATATCAGTTAGTTTGGTTATCATCATTGCACTCTGGGCATGTCCATAGGTGCTCAGGTCCTCCACTCAGTATGAACCCCAGCATCCGGTGGCTAATAGTACCAGTTATGTGTTGATTAACAAGTCCTCTGATGTGTGTCTGGTTTCTTTGTTTTTCTGACTATGCCGATCTCAAACCCAAGTCTATCATTCTGGCAAGTGATGTGGATTCACTGCGCCCAAAGTCTTCCACCCTTTCCATTTCTTGGAGGGCAATAATAATATGAAATCAACGCTGTCAAACACTCATGTACACATGCTCTCATTCTCTGTCTGTCTGTCTGTCTGTCTGTCTGTAATTCTCTCTCCATCACTTTATCTTTCACTCAGTCTGTCTATCTGTAATTCTCTCTCCATCACTTTATCTATCACTCAGTCTGTCTGTAATTCTCTCTCCATCACTTTATCTTTCACTCAGTCTGTCTGTATGTATACATGTTTTTTTTTAGTATGTATGATTATGATGAGTATATTTTTAGAGAGAAATAACATGCGTTACTGTTAACATGAAATTGTGGTCTGAAAGTCAGGATGTGGAGGGCTCGGGCATATCTCAAAATATGTGCTGATAAGAAACACCCACTGCATCAAGAGCTTTTTAGTGAAAAGGGCGACAGACTGAAGAGGGGGAAATCGTGGCTAGGTCGGGCAGAAGATGTTATTAGGCAAATATGCAGCCTAACCGACATCATACCTGGTGCAGAATGGATACCTGTGCCTCAGGCGTTTATTTGTACATTTTCCTGTATTGTCACACTCAACAGGCGATGTAGAGAAGAGAATCCCGTTGCTGTTGATGCAGAGGTCAACGCTCTCATCGGTGAAAATTCAGACGAAGCAGATGCAATAATCTATACAGACGGATCCGTTATACGCCAAAGAAGAAGCGCATGGGCATTTACAGCACGCTCAGCGGGCAGAACAGTCAAAGAAGACAACGGCGCCTTCTCCATGACAACCAGCAGCATGACGATGGAGGTGATGGCAGTGACACAAGCGCTTGCCTGGCTTGAAACACAAAAATACACCCGCGTGTGTATACTCAGTGATTCAATGAGTATGATCCGGAGGGTTCAGGTAGGTTCAGTGCGAAGACAATGGCTTGAATCATTACAGAAGTCCACTGTCCGTGGAGTCACCTTTATTTTTGTTCCGGGACACGCAGGCGTCGATGGAAATGAAAGAGCTGACAGGTTGGCTGGATCCGCTATCACTACCGACGGTCAGCCTATGGATCATGCTGATATTATCAATGCCCTCAGAGAAATGGGAAGGATAGACGACTTTGGTGGCAGTGAATCCACATCACTCGCCAGAATGGCAGACTTGGGAATTAAGATCGGCACAGCAAAAAACGAGACGCACACCAGCTACGCCAGAAGACTTGTTAATCAACATAGAACTGGTACTATTAGCCATCGGACGTTGGGGTTCATACTGAGGGGAGGATCTGAGCACCTATGGACATGTCCGGAGTGCAATGAGGATAACCCAACTAACTAACTAACTAACTAACTAACTAACTAACTGTGGTCTGAAAGATGAATGTTTGGAAGAGCAAAAAGTAAGACGGGCCTGGGTGCTCTATTTGTAACCCTAAATAGTTTTTTTTTTGTTAGTTCGTTTGTTCTCCCTATTTTTAACCCTAAATATTTTTTTTTTCGTTAGTTCGTTCATTCTCCATTTCTCTCTCTATCTCCTGCTTTTTCTCTATATCTTTAACTATCCTACTTAGTTACTGTCTCTATCTCAATTGCTCTGTGTCTTTCTATATATATATGTGTGTGTATGTGTGTGTGTGTATATATATATATATATCTTATTCCATCATTCTATCTCTCTCTATTAAATATATATGTACTGCTCGATGAATCAATAATAAAACTGATTTTCTTATGGCCAAAACTAAAATGCCATCCACGGACGGCCTTAACTAGGGTAGGGCTTATTTTAAAAGCATCCTGACAAATCATTCATGGGCTTACTTCTGGGGTAGGTCTTAATTTTGGATAGACAGTAAGTGAGAATATTACATGGTGAGACCTTAATCTCTTTCACTGAACGATTTTCATACCATTCTGAATGCACTGAGAATGGTCTTCTTTCACATTAAAATGCCCTTTTTAAATGTCATCCAGAAAGGCACCATTCATCTATGATCTGGCAAAATTGTAAGGGCACCAAGTCAGCAGCTGACAAGTAACTTGCTATTTTGTATAGCTAGTGAAGGTTGGGTCATTGCATGGCCAGCTCCAAATATAAAGCAATACAGCTGAAACGGGAATTCCCATGTTTTGTGAGGCTGGTGTAGCCAGTTGGTGGTAACAATTGTTATCTAGTAGATTTATACAGAAATTGAACTAGTTAATTTGCAACATGTGTTATTGAATGAGTTATCATTCTGAAGATAAATATTTTCTAATCTCCCATTTATTTATCTTCAAAATAATAATTAATTTAATAAAACATATTGCAAATTAATTAAACTGTAGTTCAATATGTGTATAAATCTACTGGATAACAACTGTTACCACCGACTGGCCACACCAGTCTCACAAAAGTGGGAATTCCCGTTTGAGATGTATGGCCTTAAATTTGGAGCTGGCCGTGGGTCGTTGCATATGCAGCACGGAGCCAAGGATGAACATTAATTCTGTTTCAGACTCGGACATGTGCTCCTGAGACAGCTAAATTAATGAGATAAGTTGATGATGATCAAATTCAACATCAAATTCATCTGTCATGATATCCTTACTCATATATAGATTTTTGCATATATTATCTCTGGTTGTGGCAATGAATTTATCATTACAAACAGAAATTGGAATCCTGGCCCAGCTTCATCTTCAATATTTTCCATGCTAGTTTTTCACCATGAATGCCACCTAATACATGAGATAAACACTGATCCTTATAAACTTACTGGTAACCATACAAATAAACCTGGTCTGTAAAATGGGTGGGAATGTCATGCTCAAATCACTGAGCCAGGCTTAAGTCCAAAAGTGTACAATCAGGACTTTCCACTAGAGTCTACAATCAGTGAACATAAAGAAGAATGCAATGCTGATGTTCTTTTCATCATCATTCCTGCTACTTCTGCCTTGTATACAGCTATTTTGATTACTGACTTAAATTCTGAGTATTTTTGGTCTCTGTAATGTTGATCTCCTCTTCAGTTCTGATTGTTTCTGTTGTATATTGCTTAATGTTGAAGTTCTTTAGAACTGACCTCATTATTTTTGCCATGTCATGTGTTAGAAAATACTGTTAACTCTTTGAGTCCCAAGAAACGCATCATACGTTCATAGGTATGGGTCTATTGGGCCTAAAAGCCCAATGAATGCATGATGCGCCGATTTTATGTCTCTCTTGACTACCCCTTAGGCGTGTCATGCTGAACCCTCTGGGACTCAAAGAGTTAAGACAAATTACTTGAATAATTTTACTAGCTCAAAGTCTGTTTTCAGACAGAATGGCTTTAGATATCTCTTACTGTTTACAAACCTGATATTGAATAACATCGTGCCATGTATCTTTTCCATGTAGAACAACGAACTCTCCAACAATCTGGGGACAAAACATTTAACTGATCAGAAATAAATAAATGATGTTAAAGCTAAAAGAATGTGACATAACTTTCTAACTTTCTTAGGCTCAAGCAACGCACCCTGTGTGAATGAATCTACTCATTTATTTTCCTCTTGTGCATTATGTGCTTTCTTACTTTAACATTTAGTCACAACATATTAAAGTTATCTGGCTTCTTTCAGTGGTCACTACAACTGTCTATGTTGTCACTTTGAAAGTTTAGTATTCATGATTTTTCACTCCTCACTTTGGTATCTCCTGTGGAAGTGTCAGCAGTCATGTATTTTTTTAAACCTATGATTGTTTCTTCGCTTTAGTATTTCCTTTGAAAATTTCAGCATTAATAATTTTTTGCTTGTAATTATATTTTCATTGTAGTTTATCCTGTGAAAACTTTAGCATTCATGATTTTTTGCTCGTGATTATTCCTTCACTTTAGTACATTCTGTGAAAATTTCAGCATTCATGATTTTTCACTTGTGATTATTTCTTCACTGTGGTATCTCCTTTGAAAATATCAGCATTCATTACCTTTTTTTTACTCGTGATTATTTCTTCCCTTTAGTAATTCCTGTGAAAATTTCTGGTTCAGAAAGAGTTCATTTTCCTGGTACCCGTAGCAGATGGGTTTAGACCCATATTTTTATAGCCCAATCAGCACTCAGGGGATGATGCAGTCAATATCTGGCTGACCACCTTTACTTCTTAGGATTTTTCCTCTTACCCATATTGGACTGAATGAACCCAGAAGTCATAGATTAATTTTAAATATCTGTTCAGATAAAGATTCAAATGCAGGGCTTTAGGGCTGGTAGGCCAGTGTCTGGCAAATGCATTGAGGTGGCATCCATTACTCAAAATTAAAATATAAATCCAGACAAGAAGTAGAACTAGGCAAATTTGTAATTCTTCTTTTTCCGTCCTCCTCTTCTTCTGGCATGCTGTGTTGTGGATCATAGCTAGGCTGAGATATTTGTGCTTTTCTTCCCAGCACATCTACTCACCTTTTATGAATACTTTCTATCCTCCACCACAACCCCCCAATGGGGCAGCTTTCCAGTAAAACACAGTCATGAATAACACTCAAAATTACACCAGTAACATAATCCTTCATTAGTTCAGTAAAAGCTAAATTAGAACTAACACAGCTACTGCCATTAAAGTATAATAGTTAACCTTCCCATAGTCTAGGTCATGGCGTACAAGGTGGATTGACTAGTTTCCTTCCTCATGGTTTTTTCTTCCCTCAGAATTCTTAAAAGTGTTCGTTACCCAGTTCTAAATGCTGTTAGAAAAATAAAAGAATGGATTTCCATGAAAATTGCACTCATTAAAAAAATAGTATAAAGTACCTAAAACGAACCCATGACCTTCAATGTCCTAGGCAAATTCCTTAACTCTTTGAGTCCCAGGGGGTTTAACATCACAGGCCCAGGGGGGTAGTTAAGAAAGTAATCAAATCATTGCATCATGCTTTCATTGGGCTTCTAGGTAGGAACTTATGAACGTATGATGAGTTCCTTGGGACTCAGAGTTAATCACACAGCTAATTAGACTTCAGGATGATTAACATGACTGTCTGTTTAGATATATTCATTAGATTATCATCAAAGATCCCAGTTTGGGTTCAGTAGCCTTTTTTTGTGGGACAAAAGAATAGACTCAATGCCTCCCTAACATACATGTCATAGGAGGCAACTAATTAGTGGTGTTTCCATAAAGTAGAAGTGCATTTGCCTGAGAGGCAAGGAAACCAATAGCCTGCATACAAATTAGCAGATCTCTAGAATGATGTGCACACACAACTTAAGATCTGGAAAACGATGAAAGTCGAGAAGTCGACAAACAACTAGAATTTCGTGATGGAGTTTACAGCCGAATGCTAAGAAGAAGAAGAAGAAGTAGAAAAAGAAGAAGAAGAAGAAGAAGAAGAAGAAAAAGAAGAAGAATAAGAAGGAGAAAAATACTATCAAGCACATGATTCACATTTCTGTCTGTTAAGACACAAGACTTACATTATTATCCGCCATCAGCTTGTTGAACTTGGCTTCAACCTCCTTAACCCGACCATCCTCCTTGGCTACCATATCCTGACAGTGTTTGGGAGTTGGAGCTACAAAATGGAAACAATATATGTAGCAAAAAATGTTGAATAATTTGTTTGTATTCAGCAACTAACAGTAATAATTTTTTTCTAAACCTACCTGTTATTTTCACTTCTCTTCTTACAAACAGTTATTGTAATTCATTTCTTTTTTCCTTGCATTCTTTAACAATTTTTTTATATTTGACTCATCTTAACTTGTTCTTATGTTAATCTTTATTTGTAGCTTGTTTACCTTCTTTTTTTTTTGGTGTGTCATTTTCTTTTTTTTTTTTTTTAATTCTTTGTTTTCATCCTAAATTTTTTTTTCTAACAGTAGTATCTAACGCAGAATGGATGTTTTACTGTTTTTTCTCTTATTTTTTGTTGTTGCTTTTTTTAAAACATTATTTTATTTTATTTTCTAGTATTCTAGCTTTTCATGCATTATCATATTTTCTTGTTCAGCTCACTCTCTGTATCATGTTCTTTTGTTACACTTTCTCACTAGCTAGCCCCTTTCCTTCATTTTGTTTCTTTTTATTCTTCTTTCTTTAATCTTTATTGGGTTTCGATGGCGGTTCGATCTGGGCAAATCTTGCTTCTTCAGTTCCTGTTTATTTTTAGTTTGCTACTAAAATCTTGTGCGCGCATGTGTGTGTGTGTGTGCGTGCATGCGTGTGTGTCTTTGTGTGTGTGTGTGCTTCTGTGTACCTTAGCCTGTCGTCTGACAAGTGGCATGGCACTTGTGCCTTCTTTTTAATGTCTTCTTTTTAAGTATTATATCTCTGATCTCATCAGGCCATCTGTCTATCTCTCCCTCTCTCCCCTGCACTCCCCTAGATATTGCTGGTGTTCTTCACTATTATCATCCAATCATTTCCATGTGAGATGCCATTTTTTTCATTTTTCGAAGCCCTTCTCTGGCTCTTGCCAGGGGCTGTAATATAGCCCTACCATAAATATGGTCTAATGGCTAAACACGGTTTTTGGAACCTCTCCACGGTGATTCTCATCCACATGGTGGCACTTTGTGTCATTGGGTATTTATCGCTTGTGTGATGTCCTAGTGGGGTAAAAATCTACTACTACTATTATTATCTGCTAAAATTATATATGCAGAGAACAAAGCGAACCTTTATGCCTAATTTCTAACCCTTCGGAAATAAAGTTTACTCATTTTGTTCCTTCCCTCTAAATAAATATTCCTATTTTTTCAGATCCATTTTCTACCATCATTTAATGTTAGGTCAACTAACCTTCACTCTCTGACTCGTATTCTCCCCAATAGTTGGAGTGATGAACCACATGCAGGATGTAGCCAGGTCTATTTACATGCTCCACATAAACTGGGGATGAACAAGATTAACAACAGTTGTCTGGATGAATAAGATTAACAACAGTTGTGTGAGCTGAATAAGATTAACAACAGTTGTCTGAGATGAATAAGATTAACAACAGTTGTGTGAGCTGAATAAGATTAACAACAGTTGTGTGAGCTGAATAAGATTAACAATAGTTGTCTGAGATTAACAAGATTAACAACAGATGTCTGAGATAAACAAGATTAACAATAGTTGTCTGAGATGAATCAGATTAATAATAGTTGTCTGAGATGAATAAGATTAACAACAGTTGTTTGAGATGAATAAGATTAACAACAGTTGTCTGGGATTAACAAGATTAACAACAGTTGTGTGAGCTGAATAAGATTAACAACAGTTGTGTGAGCTGAATAAGATTAACAATAGTTGTCTGAGATTAACAAGATTAACAACAGTTGTCTGAGATAAACAAGATTAACAATAGTTGTCTGAGATGAATCAGATTAATAATAGTTGTCTGAGATGAATAAGATTAACAACAGTTGTTTGAGATGAATAAGATTAACAACAGTTGTCTGAGATTAACAAGATTAACAATAGTTGTCTGAGATGAATCAGATTAAAAATAGTTGTCTGAGATGAATTAGATTGACAACAGTTGTTTGAGATGAATAAGATTAACAACAGTTGTCTGAGATGAATAAGATTAACAACAGTTGTCTGAGATGAATAAGATTAACAACAGTTGTCTGAGATGAATAAGATTAACAACAGTTGTCTGAGATGAATAAGATTAACAACAGTTGTCTAGGAATAACAAGTGATTAGTGATTAGTGATTAGAAAAGATTATCATCACAGCACTCTGGACAGATCCATAGGTGCTCCGATCTCCTCCTCAAAAGCTCCACAAGTGTAAAACGACTGATGACGCCTGTTCTGTATTGGTTAATGAAACGTTTTGTCCCCTTAGTGAAATGTTCATTTCTTGCAGCTCCAGGCTGCACCCCAATGTCCACCAGTCCAGACAGGGATACGGAGTCATGTCCTTTGACGTGGTCCTCTCAGCGCATGGCTTTGATAACATCGCTTTTGGAATTAACAAGATTTACTGCATTGGCATGGATTAAAAAAAACAAGACTAACCGTAGTTGTAAAGGGTCAACACGATTGCCCTTATTTCTCATGGATTAAATTAACAAGATTAACAATAGTTATCAGAGATGCAAAAGATTAACGGCAGTTTTCTAGGATGACAAATATGTACAGTGGTCGTCAGGGATGAACAAAGATTAAAAGCATTTTTCTGTGATGAACAAAAATTAACAGCAGTTTTCTTTGATAAACAAAGATTTGCAGCAGTTTTCTGTGATGAGCAAAGGTTTACAGCAGTTTTCTGTGATGAGCAAAGGTTTACAGCAGTTTTCTGTGATGAGCAAAGGTTTACAGCAGTTTTCTGTGATGAACAAAGGTTTACAGCAGTTTTCTGGGAGAACAAAGATTTACAAAAGCTTTCTGGGAGAATGCAAAACAAGAAGGTAATGGTTTGGGAAAGCGGAAACGAGGACGGGGGAAGGGGGGGGGGGGGGTTGACTGATAAAATTATTTGTTGGTTGCCTACCCACATGTGTGCCAGTGGTTAAAAGTTCTTCATTAATTTAGGCATCTTTTAATATACAGAAGTAGATAGGTTGCCTAAAAATATTCCTCTTTAAGTAATTAATCTCACTCTCTAACTTCCTCGAACTCCCCCCCCCCCCCCACCCGCCCCCAACCCCTCCCTTTCTCATTTTATCAAGTCATCCATACACCCACCCGTCCATCCGTCTGTCTGTCCGTCTGCCTGCATGTCTGTCAAACATATACATGCATACACATTCACAACTTGACTTACTCTCTCTCTCTCTCTCTCTCTCTCTCTCTCTCTCTCTCTCTCTCTCTCTCTCTCTCGTGTGGACGCTCTTTCTAAGTAGTAAATAACCACTAAATGTTTCAGACTAAAATCATTTGCCAGGTTGAATAGTTCTTATTACGCAGTGCAGCTGCCAATCTGCAGTTCATTTATACAGTTTATTTATAATGTATACAGATGGCGCACTGGTGATGTATGGTTGTTTTTGATTGATCCACAGCAATGTTGTGACCTAATTTACACCACTTAGTGTATACACTACAACACAAACTTCTTTGTTTGTTCGCCATTAAAAAGGCGGTCGGATGTACTGTTGTGGTTGATAGCCAGGTTGCAATATCTGCGCCTTTTCGACCTCACACCAGAAAGACCCTTTTTCTAAATCACTTACAAACGGAACCTTCCACTTTGTTTAAACTTCAATACATGGTACAAGAGGCCAAAATAAGAGGTATCTAAACTACAGTTGGGGATGAAAAGGGAGGGGGTGGGGAGACAGACAGAACGAGAAGATGGCAGAGTTACAATGAGAAAGAAAGAGTTTTTTTTTTTTAGCAAATCCTTTCAACCGTTTAAGTAGGACACGATCATTTGTACAACAAACATGAAAAACTACTAAAAACAATCACTAATAAGCTACAAACATCCACAAACTGGTGGCTACTAAAAAACATGAACGCCCGAAATATTGTTATAATGTTTTTAACGAGGGGATTAGCGAGAGACCTAAACACATTCTGGTGAATCAAGTGGTCAGGAAAGATGCTGGCAATGGACTGACCTAGAAGAAACAATGTTGATGGTACAGCTGTCTGTAACCATAAGACTGGGAAGCCTGTAAAGTTGAAGAGGGCCAAGGCTAATGGTATATAGCTTGACTGTCCTTTCACTGGAACCCCGAGGGTGAAGGAGATAGAGTTAGACCTAAAATACGCGGAGAAGATAACCGAGGGAGGACTTGCGGGAAGGGAGAAGGGAGGCCTGTGATCAGACAAAATAGGATTGATTGGCTTCATCTGGCTGACGTCTAATACCACAGCCGGCGATTAAAGTGGAAAGAACGAAAAATCTCTAACAGTGCATTAACACTCAGCGAGAGGGGAGAAGAGCACGGCTGCCAATGATGGGTTTTTACTCCAGATCTGGGTTTTTATTTGACGGCTTGGGTTTAAATTTTGAAATCTGGGTTTTTAGAAAATATATCCTTATATAGAAGTGGGTATATTTTTTCGTTCCGTAACTATACCATTTGTACTTTCTAACAATCTGGGTTTTTTAATTTTGTTGTTTTGGTTTTGCTTTTGTTTTGCTTGGGTTTTTGTTCAGCTTAGCTGGGGTTTTCAACAAACAAACAAAAATCACATTGGCAACCCTGGGGAAGAGGGAGATAAGGAGTGAGGAAGATGGCGACAGGTTTTGAGAAGGGCGGGTCAGGAGAAAATAAGGAATCAGAGACAAAAAGAAGAAAAAAAAGGAAGTAAAAGACCCGTCTCTTTCAGGTCTATTGTTTATATGGGACAAGACCTATATTTTATAGACCAAACGGCACTTGTTGGGTGATGTGGTCAGCATCACACCGGCCGCCTTTACTTCCAAGGACTGTACCTGGTACCCACTCAAGGCTGGGACGACCTGGGAGCCAATGTCATTTTTTTTTTAAATCCGGCCTCCGTCAGGAATCGAACCCACTCCCTTCCGATCCACAGGCGAGCGTCTAGCTGCTAGACAACGGCGGCTCCTTAGATAGAGAAAAAGAGAGAGAGAAAGAGAGAGAGAGAAAGATAGAGAGAGAGAGACCAATATACAGAAAGAAAAATAAAGTGAGGGAAAGCGAGAGAAAACCAGAAACAGAGACAAGACATGAGAGAAAGAGAATGAGAAAGTGAGGGGCAAAGAAAAAGTCAGAAACCAGTGAAAGAGAGCGAGAGAGAAGTGAGAAGAGAAGGAGTGAAAGTCGGAGAGAGAGAAACATGCAAATAGAGCTTGAGACACGAGTGCGCCTACACACACACACACACACACACACAGAGAGAGAGAGAGAGAGAGAGAGAGAGAGAGAGAGAGAGAGAGAGAGAAAGAGAGAGAAAAGAGAAAGCACGTTAACATCACGACTCTCTCCTCCTGTCTCAGTAAGGATAGAGCCGCCAATATTCACAAACACGACACTCGATCTTCCATTACCAGCTCACTTATAATCACGTGCCGGTTATCGATCCAGTGTGTCAACTAAAGATTCTAGTTAATCCATCTTTACCCTAGGCTGTGCTGACACTGAGTGTGCCGCAAAACTTGATTGAAAAATGAGTCCCTGGAGGTCAAATGTTCATTTACAAAAAGACGGTAGAAATATCATTATGGTCAAATGTGGCTTTACAGAAGGCGGTAGAAATATCATTATGGTCAAATGTGGCTTTACAGCAAGACGGTAGAAATATTATGGTCAATGTGGCTTTACAGCAAGACGGTAGAAATATCATTATGGTCGAATGTGGCTCTACAGCAAGACGGTAGAAATATTATGGTCAAATGCGGCTTTACAGCAAGACGGTAGAAATATCATTATGGTCAAATGTGGCTTTACAGCAAGACGGTAGAAATATTCTGGTCAAATGTGGCTTTACAGCAAGACGGTAGAAATATCATTATGGTCAAATGCGGCTTTACAGCAAGACGGTAGAAATATCATTATGGTCAAATGTGGCTTTACAGCAAGACGGTAGAAATATCATTATGGTCAAATGTGGCTTTACAGCAAGATGGTAGAAATAGTATGGTCAAATGTGGCTTTACAGCAAGACGGTAGAAATATCATTATGGTCAAATGTGGCTTTACAGCAAGACGGTAGAAAATACTATTATCCCCAGCTGGTTCTTCTCCTTCTTCTTCTTCTTTTTCTTCTTCTTCTTCTTCTTCTTCTTCTTCTTCTTCTTCTTCTTCTTCTTCTTCTTTTCTTCTTCTTCTTCCATTCTTCGTCGTCTTCTTCTTTTGTTTTTGCATAACACCAGACAGACAGACAGACAGACAGACAGACAGACAGACAGACAGACAGACAGACAGACAGACAGACAGACAGACAGACAGACAGACAGACAGACAGACAGACAGTTTCTGCACGTTTGCCCTCAATAATACTCATTTCCAGCATGCTGTTCAACGTCACTAACTACTTTATCTCAATATCACTGACTACTTTATCTCAACGTCTCTGACTATTGTATTTCAGCGACTTTGACTACTTTATCTCGGCGTCTCTGACCCCTTTATCTCAGCGACTCTGGCCCTTTATCTCAGCGACTCTGACCCCTTTATTTCAGCGTCTCTGGACCGACGCACAATTACAGTGTCTGCCCTGTCCATACTTCTTCCTTCACTAACTGCCGCAGACATGGCTAGTCAATCGGCTCTTTCATTTCCTCTCACACTGCGTATCCCGTGTCTGCTGCCTTCATTAATAGCCTGATATGTAGTCAAGAAGAGGGGACAGTGGGGATTGCTGTAAAAAAAACCTGTTTTTTTTTATATATATATATATATATATATATATATATATATATATATATATATATATATATATATATATATATATATATATATATATATATAGAGAACCAACACAGGCTTAGTAAAACATCGGAGACCAAAAGGCTAAACGGAAGAGAAGGTCAGACAAGGCAAAGTCAGGCAATGCAAGGTCAGGCCAAGTGAGACCTATCTAGGCACGACATTGACATATTTAACGGGCGGGACAATGAAATAAAGCACACTTGCCGGCACAGACTGAAAGGGGTAACAGTGGTCGTTATCCGCAGGGCAGTCCGACCTAGGTGATAGACAATGTGTACTTTAGCCAGACGTCTTTGTGTGTGTGTTTGTGTCTGTGTGTGTGCATGCGTACATGTGTGTGCTTTTATGGTGTGTGTGTGTGTTTTGTGTGTATGTGTGTCTCTATCTCTATATGTTCCTGTCTGTGTGTGGATATGCGTGTTTCAGCAAGTTTATCCGTGCCTAACACTTCGGCCCGGACGGGGTTATAATGAACCTTGTCACTAGTTCCTGACCCAGACGACTTTTACTGGTCCTCTCTTCTACCTGTCTGCTTGCCTGTCTGTCTGCTTGCCTGTCTGTCTGCTTGCCTGTCTGTCTGCTTGCCTGTCTTTCCACTTGCCTGTCTGTCTGCTTGCCTGTCTGTCTGCTTGCCTGTCTGTCTGCTTGCCTGTCTGTCTGCTTGCCTGTCTTTCCACTTGCCTGTCTGTCTGCTTGCCTGTCTGTCTGCTTGCCTGTCTGTCTGCTTGCCTGTCTGTCTGCTTGCCTGTCTGTCTGCTTGCCTGTCTGTCTGCTTGCCTGTCTTTCCGCTTGCCTGTCTGTCTGCTTGCCTGTCTGTCTGCTTGCCTGTCTGTCTGCTTGCCTGTCTGTCTGCTTGCCTGCCTGTCTGCTTGCCTGTCTTTCCACTTGCCTGTCTTTCCACTTTTGCATCCCCTACCTTTTCTCACAAACACGTACTCTATTTATCTGTCCATCTCTTTCTATCTGTCTGATCGGTTGGTCGGTCCGTTCGTCTGTCTGTCTGTCTGTCTGTCTGTCCTTGTGTCAGTGGGTTATAAAACGGGTCTGCAGGTTTGTGAGCGTTTAAATAAATTTCATTCGTCATCTATCTGTCTGTCTGTCTGTCTGTCTGTCTGTCTGTCTGTCTGTCTGTCTGTCTGTCTGTCTGTCTGTCTGTCTGTCTCTCTCTCTGTCTGCCTGTCTGTCTGTCCGTCCGTTTGTCCGTCCGTTCCTCCGTCTATCTAATTTCTAGCTCGCCTCCACACTCTTTGTATGCCCCACCCCCACACCTTTGGCAATACCCTTATTTATCTGCCGGTCTGTGCCCCTGTTATCTCACTGAGAATGCCTGACCGTCGGGTCGTCTGACAGTGATTTTGTTTGTCGGTTCGCCTGCCAGTATGTGTACGCCCTATGCCGTGCACCCATGTTCCCTTCCTATGACTATTTTCAGGTTTTGCGAAAAAAATAAAGAATGAAAATCTGTCTGGAAAGAGAAGCGAGATTTTTTTTTTCTGAACACGGTAAACGGGTCACGTCTAGGTCATGGAATAAGGAACAAATATTCGGGGGGCGGGGGGGGGGGGGGGGGGGGTCGAGGGAGAGAGAAAAATAGAAGGGGAATTGTGCTGAAGCTAAGGACACGCCATCGTTTCTGACGGGACAAAAATGCTGCGACAAGAAGGATCGCATTTTAGCCATTTTCTTTTTCTCGTTCACCAGCTGTAACTCTGGCAGAAAGTTATA